ATATATATATATATCAAATTCGAGTAATAATTACAGAAGTGATGCGCTACGAGCAAAACCGATAATCTCAAAAAATAATACTATCTTACTTCCCCGAATCGCCTTAATCATAGCAATTATCACCGTCTCAGAGACCCAGATGCTCACGCAGTGAGTGAGCACAATCGAAGCGCTTATGTATACGTATGTATATATTATACATTTTTCGAACGATGGATTAAGACATAGTCAGCCACTTCAGATAAGCAAATTCACACAATTCAAAAGCTTACCATTAATTTAAAATAATAAAAAAAAAAAATATTTTTTTGTTATCGCATTACTAATGACAAAATTGTCGCTCCTTTAATAATTTTCTTATGTATGGTTACGGGGTGCAACCAAGGCGGAATAACGCAGCGAAAGCTTCGACCTCGACCAGGCCTGTGTTGCCCGGATACCCTCGGACACACTCACTGTAATATTTATACGCGGATCTCGTCCGTCGAGACACCACTGGGCCCAAGTACCACGGCGACCTTTGTTATCGTCGCTTTTTAAGCTAATCTGCCGTCTCTGCTTTTCCTCTTTTTCCTCTTTTCCTATCTGTTTTAGCCTACCGATAATTCCTCAACGATATCTCACCGTCACACTTCCCGACTTGACGTTGGATACAAGGGGTATCCAACTTTACCTCTTAGGCGCCATTCAGAAAGGCTCTGGTCACATGCTTGGCCATCGTCGCGTGGCCTGCCATCAATCGCAGGTGTCTTAGCCGCAGCGGATGGCTTCAACATCACGGTCGCTTTTCGCGGGCGGTCTCGCTTTGGCCTGGATGGTTCAACAACCTCGCTTACAACAGACAGGTTCGCATCAGGCGGGCCACGCTTCGCCTGTTCACCGCTTTTAAACGGTGGTTAAGGAGCGCTAACCACTTCTTCTATGGACCCCGAGTCGTTAGAAGGGGGACTTCTCCCACCGTCACTGAGGCTTTACTCACGTAGGGTTTCAAATGCCTCATGTGTATAGGACCTGAGCGCGTGCCTTCTTCAGATTCCAACTCACATGTGTTGGTACCCAATGCCCTCATGACGGTAAAGGTGCCAACGTGCCTTGGTGTCGATTTTGATAAGGAGGACAATACGTGATTCTCCCACCATACCCGGTCGACGGGGGCGTAAACCAAGTCACGATGTTTGGCATTGTCATGCCGGATGGTATTGGTCTGTGCCTTATCATTTCGATGGGCTGCTTCCGCATGCAGCATCGGCAAATGTTCCATGCGTTTCTTCTAGAACTCTAATGCCTTATCCTCTAGGCGTTGCTGGGCCGTCAAATTGACCTGTCGGCGCATCGTACCTGGCACGTATGGTTCCCTACCGCTGTTGAACATCACGGGAGAAAAACCTGTGGAAGCGTGACTCTCCGTATTGTAGGGAACACATGTTCGGGCAGCTTCTTGTCCCATGACCTATGATTGGCTTCGACGAAAGCTCGAATCATGGTCTTGATCATGCGGTTCAGGCGTTCGACTGGGTTTGCCTGCGGGTGATACGGCAGCGTGAGCGTGTGTCGTATACCAAGGCTCTCCAAGAACCCATCGACGTCCTTGTTCCGGAACTTAGTGCCGTTATTCGTCAGCACCGGTTCTGGCAGATATAAGTGTTCGGACGGGGGTTGCTTACGGAACGCACTCCTTAGCTCCAGAAGGCGCTTGGCCTCGGTGGCTCTTCGAAGTAAATCTGCTAGGCTGCAAACCTCGTCTCGGCAGACTCAATTCTGTAGCTCGGGTCGCATGTTCCTGTGAAATAGATCCAGTTGACGTTCAACCGGCCAAGGAGGTTTGATTCGCCGCACGATATTGTTAATCTGTGTTAAGAAATTTTGTACGGGCTTACCAGCGTACTGGGTGTGTATTTGCGCGTCGGAGGTTAAACGGCGCTGCACCTCTTCGCCTGATCCATACTATTCCTGCTTTGCAGCTACGAAATCAGCCCAGCTGATCTACTGGTCGCATTCGTTGCGGAACCAAGTTACTGCAATGCCGCTCATACGTTCCAGCAGAGCTTGGAAAAGCTCTACTTCCGTCAAACCCGAAGCGGTGCAGCACTCGGTAATGCACGTGAGGAAAGTGTCGAAATTGTCGTGACTTTCCTCTGTGAAGTTAACGTTCCATCTGTAACGTTGCGTTTTCGCGCCCTGCGACACGTAGAGTGTCTGAACCAGGGCGGTCCCGAACCAACGCTCAAAGACACTAAAATTATCACCAATGGATGCACTGGAATTGACGCAAATGGCACTGCACTTGAAACGAGAAGAATACTACCGCTTAACGACGCTCGTGGCTCGGCAAAACTCAGCTCGGCTCCTGGAGACTCTCACCTAGAGGAAGTCCCGCCAGGGGTAGCCCGTCGGAAAGAAAGCTACTCTCCTAAGGAGAAACGAGTCCCACAACCTGAAAGAAAACGCTGTCAGGCAATGGCCTACAAATAACGACACGAAATTCGGATTTCTCATTAGGTTCACTTAATTCGTTATTACACTTACGCGGTCGTCTAGGCCCGGAAAATCTCGTCACTATACGGCGCTACGCCACGGCACGAATTCCGACAACCACGCTTCTCTATCACCCGCTCTCGCTCTAACGATCTCTTCGAGGCATGATCCCAGGGGCCGGCTCCCGCGGCTCACCCGGGCTACACACGGCCAATACACACACACGCTCCCCCGCACTACTTCTCGCGACAACACTACACGCTACTTTACCTCGGGGTTTACCGTCTTACTCTCTTCTTCAGCGACTGAATCGGCTGGTGACCTTGACCTCGCAGTTGACAACTGATGATGGCGGTGATGGTTCCTTAGTCGTCGGGCGCAAGGTCAGGTACGGCTGGCTGATTGTGGTCGCTGGCTCTCCTTGTCCGTCTCTTCTTCTCTCTCGATTCTCTCTCTCTTAACTACCGAAATTGCAAAAAACTCAAGAGCTCTGGTTCGCTCGAATGCTACTACAGAAGTGACGCGTTAGGCCCACCAATTAGTGTAGCCTCGCGCATTACCGTACTATATCTCCGTACATAGGTATATCGACAGTCATACTGGGTACTCCTGCTCCTACACATAGACTCCCGCTCATACACATACACTCGGACGCGGCGCTGTTTGCAACAATAGACGACGATACTTTTGGTACATATTCGCAGCGCGGCGATTACAAGCATATATACATATGTGGCGAGGTACTAAAAATCCTTATTTACTAAGTACATGTGTGTGTTTTCGTAAGCCGTAACTCTCGATACATGTGCTTCCGCAACTTTCTTGCCCTCTTTTCTCTCCTTGGCGCTACTCCTTGTATTCGATTACTCTCACGTAGAACATGAAAAACACAGACCCGGATCTTTATTAGCTTCTTGCAAATAAAAATAGATTCCACCATAATGACGCGTTTCGGCCGTTAATGCTATAGGGTCAGAGAAAAATGACTCCGTCACGCGTCGCTGGACAATTTGTCCTAAGTCACGGCACTGGAGTCGACGTACGACCTGCCTGACCCCGACAGTCTTTCCGCCGGAGGTGGGAGATTTCCCCCGACCGGGCTGGACGTGTGGGGTCAACTGGTGCAGCCGAATACGGGGGTAGGTTGGAGTACGTCAGGCACGTTGACGAGCTCACCACATGCGTGTGTGGCCACG